AGAAAGAAAAAAGAGAAGGGAAAGGAAAGAAAACTTTTACAGATGTATTATTATCATCCAGAAAGTAGTGTAATATTTAAAAAAGCTTCAACGGTATTTGAGAGTGGGGTTCGTATTGCACATAAAAGCAACAAATCGAATGTTTTTTAATAAATGTAGCAAAAAATGTTATTTTCTCACGTGCTTAAGTTGTTATGACTGATTGACCGTGCAATTTTACTTAAATTTGTCGCCTTTGGGCTAAATTTTTCATATTTATTGAGTATCAAAGTAAACAGTTTTTTGATAAATTTTTGTATTTAATTCTATCCTTAACTTTTTATTTATTTTTTTCAATCTAATAATTTTTTTTTAAAAAAAATTAACAAAAAAAAGAAAAAAAACCTATAGAGCATTTTCAGAGGAAAAGCCCAAAAGTCCACGAGCAATAACAGTAAAAAATGACGCCTTCATTGTTTTCAACCGAAATACCAATTCTATCTGACATGATATGGATTGACATCATTTTGCAACAACTTCAAATTTATTTGTAGTGATTGATAATTAATTATTTTTAATCATTTTTATTATAATTGGTTGTTCTAAAAATACTTATCACAAGTATAAAAATAAATAATGTAATAAATAATAATTTGAATTTAACACATTGGATGGATAATAAAATTTTAAAAAAGATTAAACTGCCACATAAACTTTTAAACGTAAATTTTACGTTTAAAATTTAACATCTTCTTGAGATATAGTTTTTACGTGGCTTAAAATAAGAGATGCAGAGAATTTCGGGACATTGGTTGCTTTAAGGCTTCAATCTACAGACCGGCCCATAGCCCACGTGCAGCACTACAATTAATTCCCCTGCTCCAGATTTCATTCGCTGCTGATTCCTCCACACGAGAACGAGATCATACCTTGATTCCATTAGTCTTCTCGTTTTAATTCCTTCCAATAATAAATTAAAGATTCGTAGCAGTATGGCGTGAAAAAATACCATCATAAATCTACTAGGTATTGCACTTCAAATTAATTAAGATTGTGATTGTGTAAAATTTTATAGAATTTTGTCATACTTTTAGATAGTTTTTTAGTTGTAGTTGTACTATTTTTTTACATCATACTGCATAAATATATATATATATATCTTCTTTTTTTTTCTCATATATATCTATCTTGTTCATGCATACACAATACTATTCTGCTGATTTTGTATACGCAATATTATGTTTTATTACGTTAGTGGATATTATTATGTTGAATTGTTTAAGTAAAAAAAAGAACAAGAAAATAGAAGTAAAAACTAAAGATTTAAAAGGTTTAGAAGGAAGATATATAGCACTTTAATGATCGACAAATTAATTTTTTGATGCGTACGCATTAATTTTCTTGATGTCGGGGGGGGTACTAACAGTATTACACACACACACAGAGAAACAGCATGCATGCATGAAAAGTTGTTAAGACTACACGACGGTGAAAATTATTTAAGCAGAGGAGCGGAGGGAGGAGGAGGATCGCCGGTTAATATCGGAATTCGGAAGAGTCAATATCATGAAGCATTTTCTGTACTTGGCAGCAGGCATAGGGACGGCATGCTGTATCATAGTAGTGTTAGGTCTGATATGTTTCTGCCTCGGTTCCAATCCTCGCCTAAATGCCAATGGAAGCTCCGGAAACGCCTGCATTAGCTGCGATGCTGGGGCCGTTTGTTGAATATTTAGTACATTCTTTTCCTCAATCCCCCGCCCCCTCTCTTCATCCCTGTTCTCTCCTTTTAGCTTTTCCATGGTTAAGACCAGCTGTTTTAGTGTAGAAAGAAGTGAATTAGGGTTTTCGAGAGTCTCTAAGATTTGACTGTTTGCCCCTTACTTCTTGCTCTAAAATACGAAGGTCTGCACATTAAATACATGGTTGTTATGAGAGCCCTATATATCATGTCATTTGTGCTACAGTAAAACATAATTGCTACTAACAAGGTTGAAATCAATTAAAAGAGATCTTCTAATTCCAATTACGAATTCGTTAGGCTCCTTCGGAACAGTCCTCACAAATTGATAATTTTTATTCATTTTATCATTTCTCATAATCAGATTTTGTTAACTAAATATTTGCAACTCGCCAATTTAAACCAGACTCAAGGATGCGGGTTAAACTCAAGTGTCTAAATCTCATGTATATTGTGAAGTCAGATATAAAATATTAGTACTCTTGTAGTTGGTTATTTTCCAAGTAATTTGTTGACTAATTGACGCTTCTCTTCAGCTATTAAAACTTGGAAAAGGATCCTCGTCGGATCCTTTTCCTAAGGATTCTAGAGATTCCGTAATTGTATCTATTCATCGTACATCGTACGGTTACAAATCATTTAAAATTTAAAATTCAAATATAAATAATATTTAACAAAAACTGACCGTATAATATACGATGAACAGACATGATTGCGAGAAGGATCCGGCCTTTAAACTTACCATGATGCTCTTTTTTCTTTTCTTATTCTATTACTTTTTTAGGATCTGATCTGGTAATTTCAATTCCGATTGTAATAATGTTGGGTTGTCTCCATTTGTCCATATAATAGGCAAATTTAATTAGTATTTTCTTATGCCTAATTAGGTGGGCCTTCTCATCAACATATGATTAGAACGTTCTGCCCTCGTCAACTATTAATTAAGAGAGTAATGTTAGATAAATTAAATTTGTAGATTAAATTTATAAATTAAATGATGTGTCATTAACAAAAAATAAGCACGTCAATCAACAATCTAATCATCAATTTTTATGTCATTTAGTTTACAAGATTTAATCTACAAATTTAGTTTCTCTAACATTACATGAGACACTTTCAATCAATGGTCATAGGGATTGGAACTGGGGAGACATTGAGGGGTTCCCATGTGACTTAATGTAAGAAAAGTAGAAATCAAATCCATCTAGCTGCATGCTAGTCATTTGAGGTGTTACCATATGGGCTCCATTTAAATCACGAGAACAGGAAACCCTAATTATATTTACAATTAGTACCAGATGATCAAAAGGATGAGCTTGCTCAAAAAGACTTGACCCAAATTGCATGATAAATCTAAACAAGCTAAACCATCAGTAACAAAAAAAAATTCAGTGTAAAGATGAGAAATTTTACAAGACCAACTTTGGTGCATAAGGGTACTATAATTTAGTACCAAACTTCCCAGAGGGTAATTATCCACTTTTACATTTGAAACCAATTGTACTGCAAGTGCAGAATTCGATTTCACCATAATCTTCTTAATTCCATTATTTTATGCAAATTGCAGCTCAATAAAAAAACACTCCAAACTTCAACACAGAGAATCTCACCTTGACCAAGATTAGCACAAAAATAAAAAATCCATGCCCCTGACGAATTTTTGAGGACACTGCTAGCACCAATGAATTGTCTTCCCCCCTTACAACACCATTCAACATATTCACTTAGATGGAATTAAAATACAAGGTGATTAATAAATACGTCTCAAGTAATGAAAATATAACTAGTTAAGTGTGTCTCGATGAAAATATGTACTTCATCGCAGTTTCAACTAATTACCATTACCCAATGGGAGTTGTTTATACCCAAATAATTATATATCATTGTCGTACTAAAAAGAGTTAGTGAATATGTATTGGGGCTTTAAATTCTGGATTTGATGACACGGTCAATTTTCTTACAAAAGCTAACCAAATGCAGAATGTACTTCAAAGAACCACATGCAATACATTCGAAATTCATTTTTTTTTCTTATGCTTCTTTTAATATCTTACTAAGTTTTGGGTATAAAGTTTTTGAGTAAACAAACCGTTCAATGGTCTGAAAATGGCTTTAGATAAGGATGTTATGAAGATACTTGTTGAATTTGACTCTGCTGCTTCAGTGTCACTCTTTAAATGATTTGCACTCTTGGCTTCTTTGTTAATATGACTGTCATCACTTGATTGCTCAAATTTGAGCAATGTGATCTTAGTGATGTTTATAGAGAAAGGAATATGATGGTTGATGGCTTGGCAAAACTAAGTTTTTATTTGGACCTAGACTGTATTATCTATTATGTTGGATGACCCTCCTGCTTCAATTGTTGATTTACTCCTAGATGATATTTTCGGGGTTGCTAGGACCCGGGTTGTTTGCGCAAGCCCAATGAGCATGATGTTTTTCTTTGTTTAGTGATTCTACTTGGGCTTTAGGTCCCTTTGTAACCGAAAAAAAAAAAAAAAAAAACCATTACGCCTTACTAATATTCTGGATTTGGAGTCCGTTCATCCAAAGGTTGCGTGAAAATTGCTAAATGGACTTGCATGAGTAATTGTTACGTAAGCATAACCCAAATCATGGAGTGCCAATTACATATTTGGAACATTAATCGTTATACGTATAGCTGTCAAAGACTCGAAAGTAACAATAATACTTGCACACGTAATCCCATCTACATATCTACACCAACAGACCTGGCAAAACTCTTCTCGTACGATCGACCAATCATATATATAATGGAGGTGGATTGTCTCCCTCTCATTTCTATACTTTCTTCATGCCCGTCAATATTTTATATTCTTATTACATTTTGTTTTCTTATTTCTATAAAAAAAAAAATTAATATAAAATGTTGACGTAATTTATCCGTGACCACACATCACAGGAGGGCATGAAAAGAGTATGAAAATGAGATGGCAGACAATCCACCCCTATATATAATATAGTATTTGATCCGCACACGGATACTTGTCATGTTACGAAGACCCCCTACAAAAAACTTCCAAATGGAGCCAAAATCATTATATACGCGCTCTTCTGGTTATGGTTTGCGTAACCGCGCGCGTTTGACTTGTCCATTCGACCACTAGTCAATGGTTATATTATTCAAACTAACACATGTTAATTTGAAACTAATTTAATAAAATTCAACCTTGAATCATTAAGCAAACGTTTTAGTAAATGTTGGTCTATAAAAGGGAGAACGTTGGGAGCATCAAGCAGACAATAGTAGATAAATATGGAGCCTTGGGAAATCTTCCTGATTGTTGTGTTCGTTGGAATGGCTGTAGTTACTGCGTTAGGTTTTTTTTGTAGAGGACGTACCTCGGTAGGCTTTGGTGGTGGAGGAACTTCTGGTGGTAGTCTTCATCACCATCGTCATAATCATGCTGCAGGAGGAGGCTTCCATGGCGGAGCAGACTTTGGCGGTGGAGCCCATGGTGGTGGAGCTGATTTTGGTGGCGGTGGAGCTGATTTTGGTGGTGGCGGAGGAGGAGCAGGAGGAGGACTTGGTAGCAGTGCATGTTGAAAGCAAATTCATTTCTCACCATATGGTGCCCTAGTTTGTTGTCTTGCTTTTAGCAGTTAGTTTGATACTAGGTCTGATTCAGATTTGTAAAGGTGATGCTAGAGAAACCATCTACTCAAACCATATTTTGTAGACCACATTATGTTACGGTTGATAGTTGAACTTCTTCTTTAAATCATTAAATAAAGAATTCAACCATCAAACATCACATCACGTGGTTTAGAAAATATAGTCTAAAAAACATGATCTTCCTAGTATTTTCCGAGTTCCGACTTGCAGTATTCTTCTGTATAAGTTTCATTATTCAAATACTCTATTCAGAGATTTGCTATATTCTTCTGTATAAGTTTCATTATTCAAATATTCTATTGAGAGGATGACTCTGCCAGTTGGTGGACATTTTCTTTCGCCATGTTTATAAAGAGGCAAAGTTTGTGGCAAATGTTGTAGATGTTGTTGGTTAGAATTCTGCTAATAATCGGATTTGAAAGCTCTTGGCTATGGGATTGTTTTGCTTTTGGTTGTTTTAGAGACTCTTGTAATTTTTTGTTTCTTATAAATAAAAAAGTCATATTTTAACGTATAGCAAGTACTCTCACAAATTAATAATGCTACATCGACACACAAATAAAATTAATTCTACTTTTATTTGTTAAACTCCATCACTGATAGAGTACTGTGTAATTTTGTATATCTAAATATAATACCTTTCCTTGTAATAATATGAATTCATATAGGGAAAGCCGTCTTAGCAAACTTTTACTGTTTTGATTATTCATAACCGCGTTTTCCTCCTCTATTTTGATTATATCAAGTCACAGTATATTAACTACAAAGAGAAAAGTATAATAATAATAATAATATAATATTAAGCTTTGAATTCGTCTGTCAAGAAATAGTAATAATAATATTATGCGAAGTCATACGCAGTACTAGAAAGGATAAATAATATACAGTACTAGAAATTAAGATGGAAACCTGGTAAATAATACTCACCGTTTGGTTCGTTGCGATTTTGTAATCACCGCTCTGATTGAGTTAATAACTAATATCCCCACTAAATAAGGAAAAAGAACTCATCAAACAACTAAAAGGATAAATTCAAAAATTAATAATTAACAGAAAATACAATAATGACATGTAATTTGAATTAACAGAAAATGCTAAACCGGCTATTGATAAAAGCACTTTAATCAGTCTAAAAATACGGAAAAAAAAATCGTACCGAATTTTAATTTCTTTAAAAACAATAACGTAAATTGTTTTATACAGAATCAATTCTGGTCACATTTTCTCAATACCAAATCTTGCAAATGAATCAACCGTATAACCCGTTGACAAAAACAATCTCAAAAACCATTGCTATCAATAAGCTCAACATTCCAAAATTGCACGAGTACAAACTAAAAACAGATCCCCGCACACTTGAGTATTCACTTTATGTACCGAAGCTGCGGTCTCCAGCATCACCCAGTCCAGGGATTATAAACCTGAAATCAGCACGAGCGTAGGTAAAATATGTTAAACAGTTCAACATTCATCACTTTAGCAGCATTACAACATCAATGGGAGCGCAACGTACTTACCCTTTTTCGTTTACGGTAGGATCAATAATTCCAGTGTATACATGAAGCCTGTAAAAATAAACGAAAGCAGAGTTAAGGAATGCTAAGTTTCGTTCCAAACTGTAATCATTGATTGACATTATTATTACCCTGGAAACTTCTCGCTCAGCTTTTGAAGTGCTGGGGGCGCAGCTACAGCAGATATCTATGACATGACAGATTATCTTAGGCTTAGCGGTGTATGAAACAATGAAATCAGATTAAATTAACCAGCTTATCTCACTGGAGGCGAGAACAGTTCGTCAAATGGAATAAGCAACTGTAAATTGCCTCAACATAAAACTTCAATAGGCTAGTTTGACAAATATGTTTACATATTAAGATATCTATATTTATGTAAATTTAGGGACAAAGTTTCAAACACAGAAGTGCATCTATGGTATTTACCACTTTGATCTGCTTGTTGTCAAGCCCGCGTTCCTTTAAAAGATCCAAAGCAGCTACTATTGTGCCACCTGAAATTGAAGAAAAAGAAATAAATTGAGAAATACCATAGAACTGGGGCTAAGCTTATTCGTTGATAAAATTTACTAGTTGTGCTCATGATGGAAAGAAAGAATACAGCACATGGACACTTGAAGAGGGTTCACTAATCCTAAATACTCAGAAATGAAAATTCAGATACTGTCACAAGTATACTAATAATACCTGTTGCTAGCATTGGGTCAACCAAAAATACTCGAGAGCCTTCCGGAAAATTGTCAGGTAACCTACGAAGAAGATCACATGAAGGGTCACTCCCAAAATTATCATATAGATAGGGTATTCATAAACGTAACCACCTTATGTTGAACTTTCCAGCCCTAAGATTACGTATGGACTACGAAATTCACAATGAGTTGGGTGCATTTCATTTGTTCATACTCTATCAAAGCACTTGAAAATCTACTATTAAGTTGCTGCAACTAATAACATAGAGGTTTGGAAATTAACTCCCACCAGCACCGAAAGCCAGAGGTAAGAACACGAACAGGAAAACAAGTTTAGGCAAGGAACGCTTACTTGTTCAGATATACTGTTGGTAGAAGTGTCTCCTCATCTCTGCTTAACCCTAGATTCGTAAAACAATTAATATACATAGATGAGTTCAAAACATGCTCAGTTTGACAAAATTTATCAAACAGATTATACAAGATAAGTTTCATGAACTTCAAAAAAATTAATTAAACAAAAAGCAAACAAAATTGAGTGTTTACATCATAGCACCAAATGATAACAAATATTTCACTTGTACCTTATGACCAGAAGATATTGCAGTCATTCATGGCTATAAACTTATAATAACAAGATTTCAATACACGCCAAACATTTTTGTTTACTTCAACTGTATAGTGAACAATGCATGAACCTTTCTTACCAAGATGGTACGTCTTTGTGGCTGGCAAGATTGACGATGCATGTTCTACAAGAGCTAGACCAGCTCTCAAAATTGGAACAACCTGCAATACGAAAAAAAAAACATCAAATAAAATAATAATCGTCTGCACTGATCTGCTTAGTGAGAGTACCATGATAAGACCACCACAGAAACAATCTAAACATTAATAGAAAACCATAATCAACTACCAAAATATGAAAATTCAAGGGGACATAAATTCTTGCCGATTCGATACATCCTGAACAAGTGAACCGGATGTTCAACCACCAAATGAAAATGGAGCAATTCTATATAATATGCTATCGCAATTCAAATATACAGGAAGCAACATCTTTACATGAAAAATGCACAAAATTAATACTAAAACTAACCGAAATAGGCTCCCTTGGATCTACAAATTCAACTGATGCGACACCCATTGGTGATTGAATCTCTCCTGTTACCGTAGGCTGAAATTTAAAGAAACAAAGCAAAATTGCTTCATCTAATGAAAACAGAATGTAATCCTCAAAATCATTGCGGTTGTGGATGTGTGAGTGTAAATTACGAAAAACTAACCAGCCAATCTCTTGAAGCTTCATACATAAGAAGCCTCCCCAACTCAGCCATGGCATTTCCTAAAGCATACGAACGTCAATGCCTCGTAAGCAAATAAAAAACAAACACTTACACTATGTGTGGATGAGAGAAATGAATTAGGAATTTTGACAAAAGTTGAAATTTATAAATTGACACGCACCAATTTCCTTGTTTGGATTCATAAACAAAGAAATTTAGAATTTCCGCTTGGAAAGAAAAAACTTGGAATTCGAGACCTCCAATTCCTAAGTTTAAATTCCATGTAAATAGGTGTCATTTCCAAATTTCTATGAGTCAGAGTTTAAAAATAAAATATTCTACTATTCATATTCAATTATTCTTTTAGATTTAACCAAACAAGAAAATTCATAAATTCTACAAAATAAAATGCCATCATTTCTAATTCCGTCATTTTGGATTCCTTGGTAATCTTAATTCAAGCTCGTTAATCCAAACAGAGTGTTAGAGGGTAACAAAGAGTTCAACAATCAAGCTACTTCAAATCCACTCAAATATTCACATTACGTAGAATAGAAAAACAAATTTGAAACTTACGAAAAATCGGACAAGGGGTTTGCTCATTTCTCAAAACCGAAACCCAATGCTTGATCAACTGGTGCGGTGGCACGAAAACCTGGAAAAAAAAAACCAATCAAGCCTTTGAATTCAGCATAATATTCAGTTATTCACACACCACGTCGCAAATTTTGACAGCATTATATATTCCCAGTTCTTAAAATTCACCCAGAATTTGGCAGCAAATTTTAAACATACAAAACGACTTTAAAATATCAAAATTCATAGAATTTTAATAAATCAGGAACCAAACAGAGAATAAGGGTGAAAAGTGAACAGTGAACTAACAAGCATTCTGTTCCCGGAAGCCACTTTCTCCTCCGTGGCCATTTGAGACTTCACCGCAACGGACCTGCGCCGCCGCGTCCCGGAATATGAGATCTTCTGGTTCAAAAAAACCCGGTTGAATGCTTAAAACACCGAGAGAGAGGGAAAAAAATGGCGGATTTATTCCCATTTTTGTTTTTGGTAGCTAAAAAGGAAAAAGCGAGGACCTTTACCTTTTTGGGATTCGAAGAAGAAGAAGAGGCGGGAGCGAGATTAAGTAGGAGAGAGGAGCTAGGGTTTTGGAGGCGACAAGTGGAACCGAAACGCGGCGTTTCGGAGGAGGGACACCGGAGAGAGAAATTAATACGGCACGCCATTAGGATTGGATAGATTGGTGCAGAAGACATGGAGGGACTCTTTAACTCCAAACCGAAAAGGAAAGATCGAGATGATTTGGCTCCACGAAACGCGTGCCGTTTGGCCCACGGGCCTGGGTGGAGATTTATCCGTCGGCTCAATTGTGGCCCGTGGACTTTCCGATTCGGTTTCGGACACGAGAAATTTGAATACTAATC